GGAATGAAAGCTTGGTTGTATCAGCCCTTCACCTTCTCCTTCTAAGGGTGAGAAAGCAAAAGACCTGCCATCTCTCTCCATATAGCAGGCTAAGCTGATGGGGAAAAAAATACAGACCATATTTTTATTGCCTGTAGCCTGCAATGCAGGAGAGAGAATTTAAATATTCACTCTTCTTTCTGCCAGATAACATTAGCACTACACATTGCTGTTTCAGAAAAGAAGGCAGCTATTTATATCCCATGGCTAAAAAGCCAAAGGTACACACATGTTCATATTTTCAGATATAACCATCCAATTATTTACACAAAAACACGTCTTTACTCCTGCTCCAGCTGTGCAAGGTCCACTCGAGAGGTTTTTTTACACATAAAGCAACATGCTTACACGTATGCCTTCTCTGAGTTACTTCACATGTGGTCTTGAAGATGCTGGAGAAGATCAAACCATGGTGAACATGGATGACTTGCAGTAGTCCTTGCAGTGCAATGAGTTAATACACCTCCAGCCTGCTCCACAGCAAGGAGGGCTGAGGCAGAGCCTTCAGGGCAACGCAAGATGCATATATTTAACAGCAACAATCTTGAGCACGGGTATTCGTAGGCATGTGAGTGCCCAACCTCCACCAAAAGGAATGGGAATTGGATATCGAAATGCCTGTGGGGACCCGAGACCTGGTCCCTCCTGCCTCTGGGTTACTTGTTTTCTCTCCAGCTCCCTCTAGTGTCCCAAACAACTTACTAGCATTAACTCGCTGGCCTGGACTATGTGATTTTGCAACACGGCACTGCACGCCACACAGGCTTTCCCTCTGCCCTTGGATACACTGCCTGCTTGCATTCATACGTAGTGCAGAAAATTTACAGAGTGGCTGAACTGGCAGCTCGTGCTTTCCAGGATCAGAACCGAGGCTTGAGAAAACACTTCAGAAACAGCAACCCTCTACTAGCCTTAGCTGGCACTGAGGGAAGACTTACAGAGCACTAGCAAGGCCTCCCTTGGGAAGCAATAAGAAAGAAGAAAATGTTCAAGAAAAAAACATTATTTTACAACTAACCTTGAAGACATTCATTCAGAGAGATAAAAAAGGCGTATAAAAAGCTTCCTCCAAAATAATTAAACTGGCCAGGAGCACTGACTCCACAATCTCATCAATTTGCAATTACTAACACAAAAAAATAAATAAATTATACTCACCATCTCCAGGCACTGACATGAAATGAGCATCAACCCGTTTTTCGTCCTCTCCATACTCATTCTTTGCCAGTAAGGTGTAAGCACCATTATTCAGGTGGGTAGGATTGTCCAGCTGAAGGCAGCCATGGTATTCACTTTGATTGATAACATGTATTTTAGTACAGATGTATTCAGACTCATTCAGTATAGCCCCTTCATAGAACCACTGCAATGTGGGCTTAGGGTTCCCTTTCACAGTGAATGGAATACACCAGTGGTGATCCGGGGTTGGAGATTCAATAAACGTGATATTTGGTGCAACTATATTGGAAAAAAAAAAAAGAGTGAAGAACATCAGAATATTCTGAACTAGTCTTTCCTCCCTTCTCCTCCCTCCCTGCAAAGTTATCAGGGAACTGTTTTTCATTCATGAGTACGAAAACAAGTTTTCAGGGGAAGCGAGACCTACTTGGAGGACGCTCACATAGGAACCCACCTGCTCTGCCTAGGGTACTATGCTGACAACTGAAAAAGCTGTACTTTGGAAAGAAACAAAACAAACTAGTTTCAGATGAAGACTGAACACTTGTTAAATCACTTACACCCTGGAAGGTGTGGGAAGTTCAGTTACTAGATCACTGAGAAGGGCTGCAGAGATGTTTTAGCTTTATTCTACTGAAAAAATGGTGTGCTTGAAGGAACACAACAGTATTGAAAATATATCAAAGCTGCCAAAAGCAAGTAGTATTGGAAATATATTCAGCTAGGAATCCAAACTTTCAGATCATTTTCTTCACAGAATCAAAGCCAGAACAGATGACTTAATTCCCTGGATTCTTCTGTCAGGGAAAGAAGACTTTCTACTATACATTTTCTCATTCTTTGTTCAAACCTGCTAAATGCCTCAAGTTTACAGACTTGTTCTGTTTCCCTCAGGAGATTATTCTAATGCCTTGCCCATTTTTTCACTGTTGGGAAATTTTCCTTTACATTTGTTCTTAACTGCATCCAGCCTCATCCAGTTATACTTACAACAGCACCAAGCCCAGAATCTCATTTACACTGTTCAAAAATTTCTAGTTTATGTCCCTTCATAGCTATTACATATCCAATTTCAACCTACAAAACCTACATCTGCAGTGATTTTTCTAGTTACTTGGTCATGAGCACATGCTAAACAAAGTTTGCCATCTACAAAGCGTTCCATTCCCATCTTCAGTTAAACAGAGGGTTGCCGCTTGTGAAAACATGCCGCCTAGTTCACACAGAATGAATTCAGGCTAGAGCTTAGATCTAAGAAGCCAATGCCTGTACGCTACATGTCCCACCCCCACCCCTGGCCTTGACAAACAAGTGTATTATTCAAAGCTACAACAAATAAATTTACATCTGGCAGTACAAATGTTGCAAGTGTGGGGTTTTTTTTGAACCAAGCAGTTGTTGCTTCAGATAATAACTTAAACATTTGCAGTCTTTTATAAATAATTCTACAAGCCTTCTGATGCGTTCACACTTCTTACTTCCTAAGAGAGTGTGTATGTTCATGCACACCATTACAAACCTTCCCACATTGACAGTGCATTGAGTATTTTGGGTTTCAGACATTTGCCTACAGATTGTTCTAACTGGAAGACAAAGCATTTAGAATTACACTTTTTGAAAGAACGCAGGGTTGAAAAAGATAAATACAATCACTGCTTGTTGGGCTACTCCCAGCATTAACTGCAGTAGACAGTCCACATACCTTAAAGGTTTTTGTTTCAACAACCCGCGTGCCCAAAAAATATTTATACCCGGAACAGTTGCTGCCACTGCAGTTTGGCCTGGGGACCTATATGGAGGCCTGCGTACGTACAGAATACCGTGAGCTCAGCAGAGGCCTGGTCCTCTCCCACAATGTTCTCTGCTACGCAGGATATCCACAGTCCGCTGTCCATGGAGGAAACATTCTTTATCGTTAGCGAGGCAGGGTTCTTACTCGTGTCGCTCTACAAGCAATCAGAAAACATGTCTGTTTTTCAACTGCAGCATAAAGAACAAGGGAGAGGGAGGGAATCACCGGTCACAGCTGAATGGTATGTTTTGTTTTCCCTTCCTTTTAGCTCTATCTGTCCCCAATTCATCAATGCCTTACTTTGCTGTCTTATCCAAGCAGACAGAAAACACCTACAGAACCAACTGAAACTGTCAGTGGCAGTAGACTCTAAGCTCCACAAGTCCTGCTACACACACTGCCCTCAACCATTATTCTGTCTTGTCACTTTCAGTTTCTGCCTTCTTTTGAACACTTCTTCCTCTACACAAGTGCTTCTTTCTCCACCCATACATGTACATTGACAACAGTGCGTCTTCTCCCTCCTCCTTAGCCAATTTTCTCTTGACAACTCCTCCTCATGAAATCTTCCATGATAAATTACATAACTTCTACTACTAACTGTCCCAGTACCGTTTTATGTGCTTAAGCACAGGCCAATTAAGGCAAGAAATATGATTCTTAGAAATTTTAATTTTTATGATTTTTAGAAAGCTCTGTGTCAGCCTTTGCAGCCTTAAATGCCATCTTGAATACGGAGACCTTCATATGACCTCAGGCCCTTCATACCATCTCCAAACAATTACTATTTCCATATTTCAATTTTTCATAAAAATCGAAGCTATTTTCATAAATAGGAAAGAAACAAGAAAACATTCAAAAAATAAATAATAATTAGGATATTTTTCAAAACCTACTTTTGAGGTGTTGTTCTTCGTGTACACATACACTTCAGTACTGCACAGAACACAAACAAATAACATACTGCATCTGTAAAACCACAGTGACTTTCACTGGCAGTGAAATGCAGTGAAATGGGGACGTGAGTCCACCCCTGCATACAGTCCTTCACAACTAGAATTTCGAACCTTAAGATTACAATGTTCCTTTGATTTCAGTGTGACACCAGGGGAGGTGAGTGGAAAAGCAAATAATCCATTACACATTTCTGTATGTGGAACTCTCAAGAGGTGAGCAGGGCTCAAAGCTGGACTGAAAGCAGAGGGGCTCAGTCACAGGCTCAGGGTTGAAATCTAGAGCAAGAAAAATCTAACCAACATCAATCAGATTATACATCAGCACAGAAACTGAGAGCACACACTTAGCTTTGAAGGACTAGAGTTTAGTTTTAACTTTTGTTAACATCTCCGTAAAACAGGAAGGAGAGAGAAAAGAAGCACAAGTGGCATAGCAGTTGAAGAAAAGGGAGGCAGAAACAAGTATGGGAGAAAGGAAACCAAAATCAACACTCATGGAAAAGGGAAGAATAGCAGTGAATGGCAAACGCTGTTTAAAAGGCACTCACTTGTTCTTCTGCTACTGAAAAGACTACTGTGCTCCATGGCTAAGGCTGTAACTAGCCTATATGAGACCCTCTGAAACCTCAAAATGAAGTTATGCCAGGACAGAATATCTCTGGAAAGCCTGAAGCAAACTGATCATGTCATTTCAAAGATAGGAGAGTTAAAAAATGAGGTGATCTCACTTTTTGAACAGCATCCCACATTTGTTTTGGCTCATAATGAAACAAAAAAAAATTTAAAAAAAGAGAGAAAAAGACAGAGCACAACTTGGCATAGGTTCCCCAAACTGTTTTAATTTCTTGTTCTTGATGACGACTGATGCCTTGGGTAGTTTTACAGATTAGAGACAATTTTAAAAACAAAACTAGAGCTCTGCAGAGCTCTTACTCATGAGACCTGAAAGAGAGGCCAGTCAAATTCCATACAGGCCCAGTGTAATGACCTCAAGGAAGAAAGTACAAAGATTGCAAGGTCCCAGAGGCCCCGTCTCTTCCACACTTCAGGAACAGTTTTGGGAGTACACAAGACCAGAAAGCTTCAGACATTCTGCACCATCATGAATGTAAGAAAGTCAATGCCATGAAATTGTAAATAACAGAGGGTCTTGCCCACTGTGTAAATAATGGCAATTTAAGAGGTCAGCAGCTGTGTGTTGAAGGTCTGCTTATATGCTTCTCCTTATCAACACTTCCATCAGAGAGGAATTAATCATTCTAGCTCCAGTGTGTACCCAGACTAGAGTAGGGAATACAAAGAACTCAAAAAAAAAAAAAAAAAAAAAAATTCCCCCTGTCTAGATGATTTTATTGAGGCAACATCTTCACACTTCATTAAAAAAAACCCTCCCATTTCTTTTTTAGTAAACCGTTCAGTTCCATTTCCAAGGCATCCATCCTGTTGTTGCCTTGTTTGTTGAAGGAAAATTACACAAGCCACAAAATATTTAGAACCAAACTCCAACACATCAAGCTTTTGACATGAAAATAAAATAAAATTAGAGACACAAAGTTTTTTTCATGATTAGGCTGGTTTAGATTTATTCTCTATATGCAGGTATCAGTGATAATAAGAAAGGCCTGGTGTTTCAGTATCCTCATTCACAATATTGCTTAAAAACAAATTTCAGTACCCTCATTTACATGTGAACATCCAAAGCCAGAGTGCAAGTCAGGGTTTCAAGATACAAATGTCTGCCATTCTCCAAAAGCACTGCAGCAGTTACCCTGGACTGAAAGTAACTGGAAAATAAATGTAATCTCAACATTAATTTTCTATTTCATACATTTAATGAAAAGTTAACTAAAGCTGGACATGACCCTTCAATCCATCCTGCAGCAGGTATCTCCTGGCTCTAAACTGTCACGTATTAGAATATGAAACTTACCTCGTGGTTTGAAACAAGATTAGTAAGCACCCAGGAAACATTAGGGGGTGGCCCGCCAGTAGTATCACAGTACAGTGTGATGCTCTTTCCTTCCACCACAGTGATGTTGTAATTGCTTAAGTTTGCTGAAGGCAAGTCTATGACAGAAAAACAACAAAAAAAAACCCGTATGCATTTGTATTTGACAGAAATAGACATCACTCAATTCTAAGCAAGCTGTATAAATCCAAGCAAAACCACTGCTAAAAGAGATATTCATTGTGGCGAGCTACTATTCAGCCAGGGAGTACAAACAGCATTTTTGGAAATATGTGCCTACAGTGTTTAAGCAGCTATGTAACTTTTTTTTCTGTGCCTCCTCCACATCCTGAAAAAACGTTGCTGCATGTGGAAATACAGTAAGGTAGATAGGGAAATGTTTCAGGTAGACTGAAAGAAGTTACCCTAACTTCAGTTTTTAACTTCAAAAAAAAAAAAAAAAAAAAAAAAAACACCAAACCTTTTCTTACTCTTTAGAACAATAAATTTAATTTGTGTCTTCATAAAATCTGCAAAGCAACCACAAACTGACATAGTGGTATTCCCGCTGTCCTCCACAATACTGACAGGAAAATCCCACTAGCTTCCAGCATTGCACAAGGGATCGCAGCCCTTCCTCTCATACGGAGACACAGCTCACAGAAAGCAGGGTAAAACCTGCACCTGAAGTACAAAGCAAGGGAAACAGCACTGAGCGGATCTAAGCCAGAGGAGAGAAAAGACAGGAGAGTGTGTGTGAACCATTGCACAGAGCTGCTATCCAAAACACGGCAGCAGACTTTGCTATTGCCCTCAGCAAAGCAGAAAAGCAGTTGTTTCCATTTACCAGGAAACAACCCCAATTTTGCAAGAACCAGGACTCCTCCTCCATTTCACAGAGCTATAAATCACTTCACTCTTCACTCCCGTTCCCAAGCACCCAGTGCAATGGAAGCTTCCTGAAGAGTAAATATATGCTGAATGCTTACCAAACCACAAAGAATTATAGAATGACCCTCTTAAATAATAATGCCAGTAATATCAATAGACTTCAAGGAAAAGGACCTCACATTTCGTATTTATTTACATAGCAAAGAATTACGCAACATGCTAGAAATATCATCTTTCTTAAAAGATACTGTGTCATCACTGAAACTGCTACACTCTGTGAAAAGCCTTGGCCTTCTTTATAAGGCACTTCTCATGAACTGTTGCAGGCAAGATTACTATCATCTCAAATAATCAAGCTTATCTGCAGTGCTGAATATACATGCATGATTTTTGCGTGACTGTTTCAGAAACAATAAATCTTTTTTTTTTTTTTTAGTTATGTGTATACTGTTTTCTTCACAGACTTGCAAGTATAGAAGTTTAGCAGAGATTTTTTTTGCTTATGTAAGAAGTCCCATACAAGCAATTAACAATCAGATCAGTGTGAATGTATTAATATATTTGCTAGAACTTCAATAGATGCTACGTGTGTTGGAAGTCTCCCTTTAAGTTTAATTAGTTCAATAAAAATTAAATGAGAGGAAGTAATACAAACGAGAAGACAATTTTTGAAGCAATGCTTTCTTGCCTAATAAGATTTGAAGATCAGCACAAGTATACAATAACTGCATAGGCAATTCTCACAGTGCTTTAAGTAGTTCTGTAATGTGATTCCCGTTACCCAGCACGTGGCTGCAAGGAGAGGA